GAGAGGAGAGGGGGCCTGGGACCCCAAGTCCACGCCTCTCAGTACCAGTCTGGGAAGCTGAGGCGCAGGAGGGGCCTGGGGTTCCTGCGCCTGGGGGCTTTGAGGATGGCTGGAGGAAGCTAATGTGACCGGGGTGGGGGGGGGGGGGTTATACCAGGAGAGGGGGCCTGGGACCCCAAGTCCACGCCTCTCAGTACCAGTCTGGGAAGCTGAGGCGCAGGAGGGGCCTGGGGTTCCTGCGCCTGGGGGCTTTGAGGATGGCTGGAGGAAGCTAATGTGACCGGGGTGGGGGGGAGGGGGGGTTAGGAAATAGAATTCAGACCGACAGGCCCCCTCCCCTCCGCTTGCCCACTCACCAGTTGTGTATTCTGGGCACCGGACTCTTCCGCTGCCTGGGCCTCCGGCTCCTCATCTGTAAAGCAGAGGGGGGACCAGCTGACTCAAAGGGCGCTTTTTACTCTTTTGGTGCCTCTGAGGACGGGTCTCCAGACTCATGGGCCCTGGCGTCTCCCCGAGACTCGGCTGCAGAAATGGAGCTCCCCAGAACCCCCATCTCTTCCCCCTCGATGTGAATGGGTCCCCAAGCCCGAGTCTTAAGGCCACAAATCCAGTTGTTCCAACCTTTCTGGCAGCCAACATGCCTACTTACCAGCTGCACCCACACCCTCCTGGCGCCCCACTGCCCTGAGTTCCTGGTCCTGGCGTTGGAGAGCTGCTCCCAGGGTCACTCCCCTGCCTTCCTTTGCAGTTTCCTGTGCAGGATGGTTCTCTGCCTGGCCTAAGGGACACCCCTCGGTCCCTGTGTCCCGTCTCCTCCACTGCTGGTGGGGCTCTGATTTGGGGCTGCTCCCTACGATGTGACCCCTCTGGTGACAGGCCCAGGTGCCCAGGCGCCTGGTTCTCCAGTGTTGCCTGTCCGCGGTCTCAGCTGTGACTCTTTCTAAGCGATTCTAAGCCAAGTCTGATGATCAGTGCCCACTGACAGCGCCCCCCCCTTGATTGTAAAACAACATTCACAGAGTGGGGAGCTGGAGGTCAATCTAGGGGCTGATGGGGGAGCCCTCCATGGGTCTGACGGAAAGCTGGAGATGTGGAAACAACATTTGCACGTGGAAGGAGCAGGGTAGGCCGTGGACAGGACTGCAGAGAGGGGTCTGGTGGGCTCTGGGCCCCTCACAGGTGCTCCTGTAGTCGTCATGCATGTGCCTCACCCCAGAGGCCCCTGCTGGACGTTCCACCACGGTGGGTGGGGCCACTGGTCCCCTAACTCGCCCCCAGGCTTCTGGTTAAAGTGCCACCATGACGGTGGGTGTGTGTGTGTGTCACACATTAACTGGGAGTCAGCCTGCCCTTTGACAGGCAAGCCCCAGGGCCCAGGTCAGTTTCTGGGCAGTCTCAGGTCAGTTTCAATGGCATTTGAAAGGCTGGTGGGGCAGGGAGGGGGAGTGGGTCCCTGTGGGGCTCCTCTCTGACTCCAGCCGGAGGCCTAAAAGGAACAGCCACGGTCCCTGCATCTCAGAAGGGGAGCAGGGCCTGGGCTGTGCAGGGCCCTGGGGCCGGTGAGCACCAGCCTCCACACTGACAGGCAGAGGCTCCGTCTCCCCTTGCAGCCCGACCTTGCTCTCTCAGAGCACCCCCTGCCCCGGCCGGGCGGGGCCATGGCCCGCAGAGCCCAACGCTCCATCCCCCAGCCCTCGCCCACATCGTCCTCAATCCCAATCTCCACCCTGATCCCAGACTGACCTCTAACCCCTGGCCAACCTCTGACCCCAGCCGAGCCTGCAGGAAGCCTGAATCCTCAGGTTCCAGGCTCCTGGAAGCTTTTCAAGTCAAGGGCCAGCAGGGGAGGGTGGCCAGGCTGAGTACGCCCGGTGCCACTTTTACAGCCATTTCGCTGCTCATAAACACCCCCCCCCCCAGGCGAGTCACCGGAGGCCCCACAGCAGCTGGTTGGCGCCCTGGCCTGCGCAGGAAGCCCGGGTTCTCACCTCTGGGGGAAGACTGAGGGCGGGAAGCTGGGGCACGGGGTCTGGAGGCTCTGTTGAAGGCAGGGAGCACCCCCAGGGCGATTTGGGGTGTGGGTGTCCAGTCCCTACTGACCACACAGTCACGGCCCCAGGTTGTAGGAGCACCAGAGCCCAGATGACCCCATGCAGGCAGGCAGGCAGGCCTTGTCTGCCCCAGGGCACTAGCCAGTGGGGTACCACGGCCTGGTCCCTCCCGGCTGCACTGGGGCCCCAGGACTTACCTGGATCCCACTCACCTGGAGCCCACAAAGCCTCCCCAGGAGCGCCTGGAGCCACAGAGCAGGGTCAGTTTGGCCATGGGGAGGTCATGGGTAGCCCTGGGCAGCTTCTGTGGTTCGGGCCTAAGCAAGGATGTTGCTGTTCAGGAAAGAAAAAGGCCTGAGTCAGAGCTTTTGCTTAAAGCAAAAAATTAATTATTTTTTACCAAGTCCTACACCGGCCCAGGACTTTGTCCCAGACCCTGGTGGGGGGGGAGGCAGGTCCACGTGCAGCAGCACCCAGGTGCCTGGGCTCCCCCCTCCCCCCGTGGGTCTGCAGTCAAGCTCCCAGGCCACTCAGCCCTTCAGGTCTGTGGCCCCAGTGGTCCTCTCCTTGCCCTCCAAGCCTCTCTCTAGCTAACTCCCCTCTGTCTGTTGTGGTGTCCCTGTCTGCCCCTCAGTCCTTTCCACATCTCAGAACTTTCAGGCCTTAAAAATAAAGTGAAATAAAGTAAAATCTGGCCCCACCACGACACAGGAGCACAGCCCCGGTGAGGGGCTTCAGTTTTGCACACCTGAGGGCGGCTCGTACCCAGGCTACCGGCAGGAAAACTGAGGTCTGAGAGGGCTGGCCTCCAGGTAGGGCCCATGGCTGCCAGCCAGGAGAGGCACGGGGGCCCTCCTTCTGCCCTTGTCCTGACCCCTGCAAGCCCACAGCCACCCCATGTGTGACTCGTTGCCCACTGTCGCTTGGGCTCCCGGTGTGAACCTCCAGGCAATGCTCTCAGAGGGTCCCCAGTGCCCCTAGGCCCCCCAGTGCCCCCAGGCCCAGCACCTGCCGGGCAGGGGCAGCTGCAGGTCGGGGAGGCGGAGGCTGAGCGCACCATGCCCTCCCTCGGCGGGCCCTCAGAAGGAGCTGTGGCTGAACGGGGGCTGGGTAGACAGGGAGGAGGGTATCACTCGAGATCCTGGAATTCCACCCCAGGGCCCGGAGACCCTGGTTGCAGGCTGCCTTTCCGCCAGCCCAGCCCCGGCTGGTTTGTGCCTGGAAGTCCCAGGCTCAGCCTGACAAGGTGTAATGATTCACGTGGCCACGGCTCAGCACATTCCAGCGGCGGCCCCAGTGCCCGGCGCGAGGCGGCCGGCCCCAAACCACCCCAGCTGCTGGGCATGTTCCGCGGGCCCCCTCCCTAGAGGTGACCCCTCCCCACGTCCTCCAGGCTCCTGGGGACAATTTCCAAAGGACTTTCTAGTTCACAGGCTGGAGACCGAGGCAGGGAGCTCGTCAGGACCTGGCCTCCAGGCGGGGAAATGAGGCCTGGAAGTAAGCATGACAAACAGGCAGGTACAGGGCTCCTGCCCTCCGCGCTGGCAGCGCCGAGGGTGTCCCAGGGCACATAGGCCATCTGTGCCCGTGGTGGGGCCAGATTTAAACTTTACCGGTCAGTGGGCAGCTGGTTCTTCCCAGTGTTCCCGTCCTGACTGGCCAGGGATCTGGGCAAGCGCCGGCTCTGCCCTGCCCTGTTGCCCTGCCCTGCTCCTGGCCTCAGCTTCCTGATCTGCCGTGCGTGGAAGGCAGGCCCGGCTTGGCGGGGCGCCCTCCGTAAGGGCCCAAGCACTCGGGGCTTGGAGGCAGACCCCTGAATCTGCAAACCTGAGGTCCTGTGTCCTGGAGCTTTGAGCTTCCAGCCACCGATGTGGGCCAGGCTGGCTCCTCCACGGGGCCCAGACCTGGGCTCTGAGGGGCACGTCTGGCCCTCAGCTCCGGGAACAGGAAGTTGTATTTTGGTCCTGGGTCCTGGGGAAGGACGCAGGGGAGAATCGCAGCTCAGACCCAGTCATGTTTACTCGGGCCGGGCCCCTTCTGAGCTCAACAGGCCCATTCATTGGGAGCCCCATAAACCCTTTGGGGCTCTCTTAGGTTCAGGGCGCCTGGACGCCAGGCCTGGCTGCCGCCCCCCAGACCTGCTGGGGGCCATGGGCAGCAGGTGGGGCAGGAACGAGGTGGGAGCCTCAGTTTCCCGATCTTTGCTTTGGAATAACAGCTCCTGCCCGTGCACCTTGGGGATCAGCTGGAAAAAACACTGAGAGCACATGCTCAGATCGTATGACCTTCAAGGCAAGCCCGAGACCAGTGGACCCCAGGCCTGGCCTTGGTGCTCACGATGGACACCCTGGCGGGGTGGGTGTGGGTTCGCATCCACCAGGGAGGAACCCTTTATCCTCTCCAAGGCTCACTTCCTCATCTGTGACCAGAGTCTCCAACAGAAGCGGAGGCACGGGGATTGGATGGGGCCCTGGGGTCTGCTCACCTCTCCGCTCGTCACACTGTCTGCACCCTCCGACTGGTGGGGTAATGTACTGCCTCGCGGGCCCCCAAAGTGGAAGGGAGGCAGCAGCAGCATTGGGTGGAAAGGACCGCGACTGGGCTCCGAGGGACCTTCTTCACCCTGGGCTTGTCCCCTGGCGGCCGCTGGCAGGTTAGCGTGGACGTGCTCAGAAGTCGGCTCAGTCCCGGTTCCCGTGCTGGGCAGCTGAGTGGAGACCCTGGTGGTGGGGAGGGAGATGTGGGAGCAAGACCTCCCGCCCCAGGCCCCCTTTCTGCAGCGCCCCACGTGCCCCCCACAACCTGGCCAACCACTTCTGGCCCTGGATGGGGGAGGGGAGGGACTCTCGTTTTCCAGACGCCTTCCGGGTGGGGTGTGACTTCCGGCTCCAGCGGCTATAAAATCCCCAGTAGCCGGTGGGTCTCTGGCAGAAGGGGGGGGCGGGGGCGGGGGTCGGCGCTCCGAACACCCTCTGGGGCCTGTTGGACACGTGTTTCCGCCGCTCCCAGCGTGGGCTCCCGCGGATGCTATTTATAACCTTTAAGAGCTCCTGCTGCTGCAAAGTTTTCTTAAACTCAAAATATCACCAAGGCCCTGGGCACGCGTTCCAGAGGCCGCTTGGCCCTGCGGTTAGAAGGGACCAGGGGCCAGGAAGGAGGAGGCAGCGGGCAGGGCGTTAGCTCGACACTGGTCCTGGCTGAGCTGTGTTGGGACCTGGGTGGGGACCCTCAGGCCTGGACACTGGGCCCTGCTTGGCCTGGAGGAACCCGCTCGGTGGGTGGTCCTTGGCCATGCTGGGGCCAGCTCCCTGGGTCTCAGTTTCCTCTCACCCCGAATGCCTCAGAGGACACTCACGGGTACAGGCAGGAGCTGGCAGGGACACTGGGAACATCTCGGCTGGGACCAGGCTGTCCAGCACCCGGCACCGAGCCTGGGCCGGCGGCACCATGGAGGTTGGCTGAACTGGCCAGAAAGGGGAAGCACTTTGGGGAAATTTATAAAATTGTGTGTGAGAGCGATGTCCGGAGAGGGGCAATGGCGTGCCAGAGGCCATCCAGCCCATCCAGACCAAGTCCCTGGGCCTTCCCAGCCCGAGGGCCCCCCTTGAGGTTCCCAGAGACAGAAGAGGCTGAGGGCCCTGACGGGGGACAGGTGAGTTGCCACCTTAGCGAGGGCTCCAGGGAGAACGCGAGTGGCTTTGCATAACTCAGACGCGGCCCAGAGCTGGAGGGGCCCTGGCAGTCACGGGGCGCGGGGAGGGTGGGGTGCCTGCACCAACTTCTGCTGGCCCTAGTAGAAAGCAGAGGTCCCGACAGCCCCAGACTCCATCATGAACTCCATGGGGGCCATGGTTTAGGCTCCTGAACCCCACTGCACCCCTTTCATTCCTGGCCTCCTTAGCTGGTGTAGGGGTGCAGAGAAGAGGAGCTCTGGCCTCAGGACCATCCAGTGTGTCCCGTCACCACCAGGAACACCTCTCCCCACAGCCATTCCCACCAACCAGCGGTCACGATGCCTCCAACGCAGGCTCCCCATCCATTTTCCAAGTCAGGCAGGACCACAGAGGGCTCTTTGGGGGAGGGGCGAGGAAGTGATGACCAAGCAGGGAGGAGAGGGAGGGAGCCAGCTACGTGTCTGGAAACAGCCACTTCTCTGCCCAAAGGCCTCCCTGAGGCTCAAGGACCAGGTTGCTCCCTCCTTGAACCCGATCACTTCTGTGTGCTGGGCTGGGCTTGGGGACCTGGGCGCCCTGCTTCCCGTAGCCACTTCCCTGCAGGCTCCCCCGTCCTGGGGGCTCCCCTATCCTGCAGGTTCCCCCATCCTGAGGGCTCCCTATCCTGCAGGCTCCCCTGTCCTGGGGCCCCTCCTGCTGCTGGCTCCCCATCCTGCAGGCTCCCCCATCCTTGGGGCCTGCTACCTGAATCCTGGATGGGCACTCGCCTTTGCCCCTGCTTCTCACTGACCTGCTCTTCCCTTCTCATCTGCCCTTCAAATGCCCCCTCCTCTCTGAGGTCTTCTGGATCTGCCCGCACCCCCCCCCCCAAAATAGAGTGAGACGCAGGACTCTGACGCCTCTGTCCTGAGGGACTGTGAGCCCTGAGGGCAGGGACTGCGTGATCTCCTGGTCCCGCTGCCTCCTCCCTGGTAGGAAAGTCCATCATCTCGCCCTGTACCCCTGCAGGATGGGGGGTGGGGGGGGTACTGGCTAGAGCTTAGAGTGCAGATACCCTGCCCCCTCTCACCCTTAGTTGGGGAGGCTCCTCATCTTCTGAGCCTCAGTGTCCCCACGAGGAGGGAGGGAATAAGGGCCGTGGACAAGCCCATGGGTTGTGAGAGAGTTCTCCTCCAGGGGGCCTGTGAGACCCAACCATCAAGGGAAGGTTCTTCCTAAATTGGGGGCAGCATAAGGGGCAAAGGTTGGTGCAAGTGCAGGAAGGAGAAGACTCAGGTCCAAGGATGCCCCAGAGTGACGGCTGGGGGACCGCGGAGCCGACCCAAGATCCCCCCCCCCGCCCCATTGTACAGGTGTGATCACTCAGGCCTTGGCGGGAAGAGGCCCTGGAGTTGGTGAGGGCGGGACCAGCACCCTTGATCTGCTCTGGATGGGGCATGATGCGCTGTGTCCTCTAAAATGTTCACTGTCTCCTCGAAAAGCCTCTCCTCCCCACCCATCTGGGCTGCGGGCTTCCCTGCCCCTCAGCCCGGCTCCACACCTGCAGGGCTCCTGCAGCAGAAGGTCTGGTCTGGGTGCAGGGAGCTGGGTGCCTGGCCACCCTGTCTGTCCGCCCCAGGGCCTGAATCTGGGTCCCTGGGCTGTTTGAGGGTCAGTCCACATTCCTGGGTGAATGAATCTCTGCATCTTCTGTGGTCCTCTCCTGCCCTCGAGGCCAGCCTGATGGGGACGTGCCTGCCCCCTGGCCACCCTTTCCCTTGTGCCTTCCCTCTGCCTGCTCTGGAGTCCAGGGTCTGGGAAAGGAATGGGTCGGGAGTCTTGCAGCGAGCCCTTTCCCACGAGAGCCGAGCCCTGACCCTGTCCTTATCTGGCCCGACTGTGCCAAGAACAACACAGATGTGAGGCTCACGAGCCCTAAATGTGGGGACACCGACCTCCAGGCCCAGCTGCTCTGCTCTGGCCTCTGTTTCCCCCTGTGAACAGGGTGGGGGTGTCCTTCCAGGGAATGGAGGAGGCGCAACAGCAAGGCCCTAACACTTTGCACACCCATTCCCACCCACACACGTGCACACGCGTGCAGCCACCCAGGCCCCGCCAGGCAGGCTGCTCTGGCTCCCGATTCCTCTGGTCCCAGCCTCTCTCCTCCTTCCCAAGGTTCCCAGTTCCCAGTCAGAGCTTTTTCTCCTGAGCTAGAAGGTGTGAAGTGTGAGGTGTGTGTGCGTGCAAAGGCATGTGAATGGAGCATGTGTGTGCAAATGTGTGTGGATCTGTGTGCACAGGTGTGTGAGCATGCATGCAAAGGCATCTGCATAGCCCCAGGATTTGCGTTTAAATGTGTGTGCAGAGGACTGTGTCTGTTCTTGGTTCAAGCCCTGGGGGCTAGGGCTCCTGAGTGGGTGTGTACGTGTGTGCATGTGGACATGTAGCACATACACACTTCAGTGTGACTCCTGGTGGCCCCAGGGCTGGTGGGAAGGGACCGGATGGGTGCAGAGTGGCAGGGACCAGCGGCATCTCCAGGCGGCAGACCCAGCAGAGGAAGATGAGCCTGAGCGAGGTGCTTGCTGAGTGTGTGTGTGTGTGCCAGACATCACCACACCTGTGGGCGGCAGGTATATAAATACCACACAGGCAAGTCCCAGAATGGACCCTCACTATTCCTGGCTGGGGGCTGGGGCCATTTTTAACACTGCTCCACACCCTGGGCCACAGAGGGTGTTTATGTGGCCATTGGGGGCAAGGCCACAGCTGGGCCTGGGTGGGGTGGGTAGGGACAGCCTGGACCTGTGGGGCCACCACAGGTGGGGCATCTGGAGGGGACAGAGAGGGCGGCCTTGCTGCTGCCATCACCTCTGTCACCTCCTGTCACCCCTCTTCACCCCACCACTGCCCTCCTGTTGCCTGCACTGACTCGCTCCTGTCCGGTCCCTTCCTCATCGGAGGCCAATTCTGTGTCCGTTTCCGGACGTTTGAGGGGGTGACAGGTGAGGAGTGGGGGTCGGGGGAGAACGTGCTGCTGTAAGTCACATCCCGCCAGGCTCTCCCTGGAGCTGCCCCATCCCTGCTTCTGAGTCGGTCCCGTCTGTTGCGGGCTGTGCACTGGTCTCTGCGCCGTCCGGCTCCGGTTTCTGCAGCACGGCCCCGGGCGGGCGCCGGCTCCTCCTCTCGGCCCGTGAACTGTTTGCCTGAGACAGTCGGTCCGTCCACTCAAACAACCACCCGATTCAGACTCCCCATCTGACGGACGGGATTTTTCCCTCCTGCTAAATTTACTTGCATTTTTGACTGAATTGGCCATTCAACAGAGGTTGTGTCCACATGCCCCCAGCACCGTGCCAGCGAGGAGCGGCTCACAGATGGACACGCATGCAGAGCCGGAGTGCCCCCCACGCTCACATGCACTGTGGTCATGGTCTCGTGTGACGCACACGAGATGACAGGCACCCACATGGTCACACATGTTCCCATCCTTGTGCCCCAGGGATACATGTGAGCACACGTCTGCAGGATCACACACCGCTCACACCGCATGCTGTGGTGACAGTGTTTATGCCCTCAGACCTGTCCTGGGGAGCCTCAGGGAAATGGGGCCTGGGGAG